AGAGAATCCAGGGATTGCTAGAGGAATTGCGTCGAGTGACGATCAAACAAGAAGAGAGTAAGTTTGTCTGTCGTTCGAAATTCGTGTAGATTTATATTGAACTCACTTTTATCGCCTTTTTGATTGCTTCAGTTAAAATGTGTGGCTTCGGTGATCCACTCCCCCCTCCCCCCTCTTTCGCCTTCTCCTTCCCCTTCTCTCCCACTATAGGCGGATCAGAGCGGTCTCCTGAGGGAGCGAGAAGGGGTGAAGGGGGCGACTTTTTACCTCACCTTCTTCCTTCATCACTAAAACTTACCCTTCACTCGCCGCACTACCCCTCCTCCCCCCTCTGTATCCGCCAATGCTCCCGCCCCAGAAAAAAGATTGTTGAGACATTGTGCAGGGTACTACTTCAGGGGTATACGAGGATACTACTTTCCACTGCTTCCTCGGCTTAATTTTATTTTTTAGACAAAGAAAAGGCGCGATTCACGGGTACCGAAAGTGAAGAGAAGCGGAAAGGCGAGAGTGCTGTTGGTGGTGCTGCTGATGTAGCGAGAGATCGATATGAGGTGAAGTTGTGCACGCCGAAGCGGACGCCCGTTAAGACACCGGAATGCAATCAGCAATAGTAATCAAATATGTTGTAATTTATTTCCAAAATAATTGCTTTGCATTCCCCGAACTGTGTTTTTTATTCAAATTTGAAATATCTTTCAATTATGTCTTTTCCAACAATGCCTTTTAAAATTTAAGACTTTTAATGAATTGCCAGGGCGATTGCCGGGACCGTCAGTGACAGATTCCCGTGTTGCCGAGGTGTAAATTTTGTACCAAACGCAGGATTGTTTCGATTCTGTGCCATCTGCTGTTTAGAGAAGGGAGAGGGAGAGAATTCGCTGAACTAGGCGGAAAAAGAAAAGGGGAAATGGGTTTCCCAAAAGAAAATGGGTTTTCCTCTTAATTGATTAATTACTTTACTTTTGTTCGCATTCCGTTAAATCATTGGTTTCCTCTCTTAGGAGCTATCCCCCCTTTCCCCATAGCTATTTCTGACGGATGAAATATCGGGGATTTTGCTTTTTTATTCCCCTTGTCTTCTTTTCCGTGTCGTTAGCCTGGACATGTCCAGTTGTGCAGTGTAAATTCCCCGATATCAGTAGTACCACGCATAGACGGTCCCTCGCCATCTGTTTTGATTGCCTCTTGTTTATTTCGCTGGTACAACGCGGGTATTTCCGCGATTTGCACGATCTTGGATTATGTTTATTATTGCATGCGATTATTTATTATTATGATTCGCATTCGATTTGTACAATTCATTATGCTTGTATGATATATACATATTTCGGCATTTCTTTCTATGATTATTCTGTGAATCTATGATTAGTCTATGACCTATGATTAGCTTGAAATTTTTATGATTAGTCTATCCTTTAGTGCATTTTTTTTTTGAAATTTTGCGGAGTGAAAAAATAATTTCTGATTGCATTTAAAAAAAAAAAAAAAATCACAGAAATCAGAAAAAATTAAAAACTGGAAAAATCCGGAAAATTTCGAATTTCTGATTTGATTCAAAGGAAAAAAAAGAAAAAAAAACTCTTGCAAAATCGAATTTTCCACCGAACATTTTTTTGGATTGTTTAGTAAAAAACAACCATCAAATTTTTGATTATTTTGCAGTCAAAATTGACCGCACCAGATAAGCGAACGAAATACTTTTTATTGATATTCGTATTCGATTTGTACAACAATTTATTATGCGCTTGTATATTAAGCAATGAAACTGTATTGTACCCCCTGGTGACCCCTGAAGAAGTGGATACTGTCCAAGGGTATGCAGCTCAGGATCGAAGGGTTCTTTCCCGTCTCGTTAGCTTCGGATGTCCTCCA